AACACTGAGGTGACGGCAGCATTCTTACAGCCTTTTCTATGTCTTGTGTAATCAGGTCCCCCTTCTCATTCAACAATGGGCCCACATTTTCCCTAGTCTTTCTTTTGTTACCTATGTACCCATAGAAGCCCTTCTTGTTGTCTTTGACATTCCTAGACAGATTCAATTTCAGTCAGGCTTTAGCTTTCTTAACTTCACCCCTGGATGCTCTGACAATTCCTCTCAGGCTACCCATTCTTGCTTCCTCCCTTTGTATGCTTCCTTTTAGTGTCTGAGTTTGGCCAGGAGATTTTTGTTCATCCATGCAGGCTTCCTGGCATTTTTCCTTTCTTCCTCCTCATTGGGATGGACCACTCTTGAGGATGGAGGATGTGATGCTTGAATATTAAGCAGCTTTCCTGGGCCCCTCTTCCCTCCAGGGCTTTATCCCGTGGGACTCTGCCAACCAGATCATTGAAGATGCCAAACTCTGCTCTCCTGAAGTCCAGGGTTGTGAGCTTGCTTCTTGAACTCCTTCCTCCCTTTCAGGATCCCAAACTCCACCATCTCATTGTCACTGCAGCCAAGGCTGCCTTTCACATCCCCAGTGAGACCCTCCTTATTAGTGAGCATGAGGTCCAATGACTACTTCTTCTCATTGGCTCCTGTCACTTGGGTGAAGGAGTTGATGCACCCCAAGAACCTCCAGGATTGCCTGTGCCCTGCTCTGTTGTCCCTCCTGTATATACTGTGGTGGTTAAAGTTCCCCACAAGGACCTTCACAGCACAGTCAGAGGCAAAAACTGCCAGGGGGTGCAAGGTGAGGGCCAAAGATGTTTTCATAAGGCTGTAGAAATTCACATTCTTACATATTTTCAACTGAAATTTGACATAGCTACCTGAGGTAAAGCAAGTGGCGTATGAATTCATAGCGTTTTAGAACCACTGTGAAACGGAAAAAGTGAGTTCACTCACAGTGGTATACTACTTGTTCCATGCAGTTCTCTTTATATCCTTTTTTTTCTTTTTATAAAGACCATAATGTTTAAGGGAAACATTCTTAAAGGAAATATGACCAACAGAGTCTATTCTTTCTAGCCATAAACTGTTATCAGTCCCAGTCTAATGATCCAGGAGCGTTATTACTGTGGCTGAGCAGCGCATCCATTTGTGAGATGCCCAGTACAGCCCATTAGGTATGTGAGAGGTAAAGGGAGCGGGAGATGCTATGTAACATGTGGAATGAATATTTGCTCTGCTCTGCTGGTTATACGGAAAGTGCATGATCACAAAGCCACAGGCATCACGTCACCTCGTGTATGGTTTTCTTCCTCGATACATTTGTCTTTAATGGCACAGCTGCTGACTGCAGCTATCATACCAGAGGACTCGTACCTTTTTTTGGCTCAGTTCCCAGTCCAAAATGAACATGTTCATCCAGTCATTCACTTGTTTTTCACATTAATGGGAAGCAAAGGTGTAAGTGCCCTCACCGAACTATAAATGTTAAATGACTGCAGTCACAAGTTTGCTTTCCACTGCTCTTTTCAGCTCAATCTCCAGCTGGAGTTTTGCCTGGGAAAAGTTTTGGTTTTATTTACTTTTTGAAGTATTCTTAACTCCTTTTCCTAAAGAAGACATGCAAGATGCTACATAAAAAAAAAAGGCTTGTACAGAATTAAAATTTTGTATCAATGTAATCAAAACTGAAGACATCTTGAGAAATATGGTAGAAGCAATGCAATAAACAACAGGCCTAAACCATACCAACATAAACTTGTGTATTGCTACTGAAGTAAATGAAACGACATTAGTTTAGGTCAACTACACATCTTGTCAACATGTTATGCCACTTCTTATTTTAATAGATGATCAGCTCTATTTTTTTTTCAGCTACAGTAAGGAACTTTTTTTAGACAGATTCTGATATAGTTTGAAGATGAGAATTCTACATGACTCTTCAAAGGCACTGCAGAAGTGTGGTTGTAATTTCTGATGGTTAATTGTATTCTGGCAGCTTCTAGAAAGTCCAGGCTCCTGTTGCCCTAAGCTCTGGCCCAATACATATCAAAAGATAATCCCTCTACATTTAAATTCATGCTTTTACCCTGGCCAATACAAGCAAGTTAAAAAGGTTTAATGCTTTATTATTCTCAGGAAAAAATAATATACACACACTTAATTTTAAGCATGATAAGTTGACTTAAGCAAGTGCTAAGCACAGTGTTTAAAGCAAAAGAACCATCTTTGTGCTGTCCTTCATATGAATGCATTTCTGCATTGAGGCCCACAAAAAGATAACATAAAACAAATGTATACAGCTGAAGATGGAAACAGACAAAAGAATGGGGAAAACCAATAGTAAATTGGCACACAGGTAATTAAGCAAGTAAGTTAAAAGTTAAGATAAATAAACTAGAATAATCTAAATATCTGCTTTGCATTGATATCATGACACATTGATATGTTGAGATATGAGGACTTTGTTATCAGGTCAGCAACTAGTCAAGTTCAGACCTCATAACAGGATTTAGAAAATGGTTTATAGCCCTTTAATATCAATATTGAATGATGTACCAAATAAAACCCTTCTATGGCAGTCTGTGATTCAGGGAAAAGGACGAAGAGGAAAAAAATAGTACATGAGAAGAGGTCATAAATAAAGTAGCCATGCCCTGAGTGCATCCATGCACTTCATCACCTTAACCAATTTCTGCAATGATCTGGCTCTCTTTGGTGCCTCTTCCCAGCTTTCCTAGAACACCATTGCATTTGGAAACAAAGGCATCCATACACTAGTGAGCATGAGGAAGAGATTATTAGTTGAGCTGTATTTCAGTCATATTACTGTTTTCGTTCTTCTTGGATTTCCTTGTCCATCAGGAGATAATAAGTAGACCCAGTGCTCAGCCATGACTGCCGAGAGCAGCATGGGGATTCCCAGTCATGCTGTACAGACAGAAGGAAATCTTTATCTGAAGTCGTCAGGAAAACATTCAGGGACTAGTCTGGAAGTGCATGGACATGCATGGGCTTGGAGCAAACAAAGCTCCCAACCCCTCTCTTTTTTGTCTCAGAATTACAGGTGCTCCTTTCCAGCAGGTGCTGGGACTGATCCTCCACATGCTCTGAAGGTGCTTGAAAACCCTAAAATAGGAAGGGCAGAATAGCCCATAGAAAACCTTCCCAGCCTTTCCAGCTGCGTGTATATAACTTGTTGCTGTGACTTTCAAGGCTGGATGGTCAACCACCTCCCTTACATGCATTTGAAACTCCTACCATGTTTCCACTTCAATGAATGTCAAAGTAGGTTTCCAAAGAGGAGGAAAATATTACCTATAAATACTAAAACAGCTGAAATTCCTTGCTTTGCAAATGCTTTCAGAGCCAAATAAGGGCTAGCTGCAGACAAGTCTGATTCTCACCTCTCTTATTTCTTCCTGGGCAGCGAAGGTTGCAGTCAAAGGGAGTAGCATTAATATTTTTCATTGGAAATGGGGAGAAAGACGCAGAAAGGAAAAGATGTCAGTGGGGTGTTAAAGCTACACCAAAGACATGAGAAGCTTGGCTAGTTTGCAGAATTAATTGAGTTACATGGATAACTGAGTGCTAAGACTGATTTTATTACCTCAGGCTAAGGGGAGTATAACAGAAAAGGTCTCTCTGAAGAATCCATATAAGGAATCTTATGTTTAGGAGAGTTGAGGAAAACGACACTAATTGTAAATGTCCCTTGATGAGCAGCTCCTGAGATGCCATGGTGTCCTTGTAAAGCAGCAAGGTCTGTAAGTGCCTACGGCTACCTCTTCATAAAAGTACAATTGCTGACAAAAGGAAATTGCATCATCCAGCCTTTCTTCTTCTTTAACAAAAAAAGGGGAAGTTTCACTGTAGTATTGTTAATGGTAAGAGGATTAATTCTAGGAAGTTTGGAAATGCTTCTTTAAAAATAGGTCATTTAGCAGAATAATGAAGAGGAGTTGAACACTGACTCTGCCGACCTGACCTTGTACTCCTGACTCAGACATGACCAGGGTAAGGATCAGGCTGTGTACAGACCTGCAGAGCACCAAAAAAAGTAGCAAGATTGTAAAGAGAGTGAAGTAAATAGGAGCTACTGGGAACCTCTGGCTGCACTAGTGCTATAAATTTTTTGTTTTCCCTGGTAAAGTTTGATGCTCTCTCCACTCTCCCCCCCTCCAGTGAGGTTTTCTCGTGTTCGGGCTCTCAAGAGTACTGCCAATTTGATTTTGGCACAAGTGAAAAAGTGGTTATTGTTGGGAAATATTGAAAATATCTTAAATTTTCCATGGTTAAATAATTGTCAGAAAGCCAGAGTCAGGAATGGCTGTTACATAAATATGCGCTGATCTTAGTGGCCACTGTTGGGGAAGAAATTACATATGCCACGGCAGGAAATCTAACATGTTTTTTATGATCACTTAACCCGTGAGTCAAAGAGATTTAGGATCAATAACTGAGCCTGAGGGTGTTTTGCACAACAGTGAATAAAATACAGGTCCGTTCATACGGATCAAGGGAATGTGGTTCATTGATATTTATGACTATTAGAGTTAAAAAATATTTTCTTAGGTCTTCTAGTCAACTGTTCTTCCCCTCACTCCCCCCCCTCCAAGTCTTTTGCATATTGCAACAGAGTTCTCCTCGCAGCTTGTCCTATAGTTTGGAAATCCTGCTCCTGTTTATCCATAAAGGAAGGTAAAAGAGTAACAATCTTTCCAGTTGAAAACGCGTGCTTGACTTGAATCTCTGGGCACTGCAGAACCATTTCCTGTTCTGATCGCAGCAGAGAGAGATAAAATTCCACAGCGGTGGGAATAAACCGAAATGAGAGCAAAGATTTCCAGTCAGTTCTGAGTCCTAACCCAAAATGTCCTTTGCTGAGAATATTTTTGCTTGGATCTATTTTTTGATGGCTCGCTGCAGGCAGAGAGGGCAGCGCTTCAGGCAGGAAGCCGAATTTCCCGATCAAAAACAACAATCCGGACCGAAAGCCTGACGAGGGCTGGTCGGCATTTGCACGCGCTGCAATCCCACATGCAAATTAGAACAGCTCCTCGAGCGAACGGCTCATTAGGCTCCCGGATAGCTATCTGCGGGCACCCCTCCCCGCCTGCCACACGCGGGACTAGCGAAGGTGGACGGAATTAGTGGATTTTGGATGCGCGGGTTCTGGCTCTTCTTTCTGCCCTGAAGGGGCTCAGCGTGTGGTTTTGCCTCAGGAGCTGTGAGGAAGGGGCTGGCAGAGGAGGCAACGCCGAGCGAGCCCTGGCGGACCGCGGGGGTGTCCCGGGGCTGGGGGGGGGGGAGCTGCGGAGGGTCCCAGGGACCCCCCTGCTCATCCCCACGCACCTGATGGAAGGCAGGAGCCTCCAGCGCCCAGGCGAGGCCTGAGGAGGGGTCGGCGTGAGCTGGAAACGCCTCCCTGGATGCAGGTACCTGCCCGCGCCCCCCGCCTTCGGGAGGGCTGGAAGGCGGGGTGTGGGGGCTAAGCGACGACGGGGAGGGGGGTACCCTTCCCTCTACACCCCCCTCACCCCTCCAGGAGCTGCCCGGTGCCCTCCCCGCCGACCCCCGGGAGCTGCCCCGCTCTCCCTGCGGCCGCCGGGGGGAGCCCAGCCCCGGACCGGGCGCTCCCCCCCCCCCCCCCCTCTTCCCC